AAAGCATACGCATACAGTAGCATTGCATCCGCTAGTTCTCCTATTAGAGAAGTCGCCTAAAAAGATCAACGTAAATTCTGATACGCGTCCTCGTCAGAGCAGTCATATTTCTGCAGCAAGGTTCTAACATAGCTTGTGACAACCACAAAATGGTGTGAGTGGTTTTACTCCAAGTTTTTGTTAGAGAGAATGACTAAGAAGTCTTTCTACATTTTATTGTGCTGTCAAATCAATAATTGCTGCCTATTTGCTTCATTTTTGTTTAACTAAAATTCTGCAACAACATTAGTCTACGTCTTGCTGAATTGTAAAAAGTGTGACCTAGCAAATCTAGCTAACTTTTACCTTAGCCGAGTTCTTTCACCTTACTCTTGTAAACTTTATTTTCTACCATTAGATTATAAGCAAATAAATCTACATACCTGGATAGTATCTGGATCAAGTGTTGAGCAATCTATGCAATTAAATGGAGGTTGTTGGATCTTAGCAATGACATCAGTCACGAACTGATCAGATGAGTTTAGCGGTTGCGAGTCGATCTTTCAAAAGAAAATTTATATAATGCAATAAACAAATAGTAATCTGCTAGAAATATACCACAAAAAATTTTTTAGCGGCACTTAAAGCAACACTATCTTTTCCATCTGATGTACCATCTTGGAGTTTCCATTCTTCATCTATAAAAATGGAGAACTTTTCCTACTAAAGTTCGATGAGATGTGGATCAATCTGCCAGATATAAACGGAAAGAGGTAGAAGAACTTACTAAATCCCAGTTTTCTGTTATCCAACAGCAAATACACATACTCATTAGTGTTCATGCCTTCTTCGGCGATGGCAATGTACATATTTCGTCGTGCATCTGCTGATTCCAAACAGACAACGGTAACTAAAATAAAGTTCTGATTCACACTCGCTAACACATAAATCTAATATTCTTTTTCAAAATTAATTAATTTACCTCTTGAAACTGATTTAATGGCCTTCAACACATTTTTGAATGTATTGTTGGTATAGTTTTGCAGTTGACGATTGTATGTGATGGTCATGTTCGCTTTGCTGTCCAAGAGTATCTGAAGAAAATGCGCTTTTTGAAAAAAAAAAGCTTGGACGGATTGAAGTCGTGTCAAAATGACTTAAAAGACACTTTTAATAGTGCTCCTTCTCCTCTCTATCTAAACACAAAGACGACCGTCTTCCCTCACTTCCATTCCCAAGTTCCTTACTTGTTCCTTCTTCTTTATGAAAATTTAATTTCTCTCCCCCTCCTTACCTTTTTCCTGTCAAAAGGTCTTTGAATCCTTGTAGCATTGAATATTTTTGATGAGAACCCCATGTGGACCAATTTCTCTATCGATATTATGCTGCTTAGCTACATATTGTACAATATGATTCAGGTCTAACTGACTATTGACACGGCTTTACTAAACATACCATACACATAACACACCATAGACTCTTTATAAATATCAGGCACGGTTGTAATTTGCGCGGAACTCGCAGTTAACAATCATCGTCTGCTCGCAGTCAACGCGTTGTACCATAAAATGAAGACCAAACTATGAGGATAGCTGGGAGGTGCTTGCAGAGAAGATGGCAGGTCGTTGCAAAACCACTGAAACGTAATGGGATCGAACCCAGGACCAGCATTTACACACCTT